CGTTGACTACGCCTATTCACAAGCGTTATCGATCGCACTAGTTCTGATAAGACTTTGACTCAGTCACTAATAACTGCACGAGCACCTCGGAGCTAGGTCACGTCTGTTCCGCTCGGCGGTTGAGAGCGAACTATAGAAGCATATATAATTAAGGATCTGAAACTTTTGAAGGTAAAAAGTAGGAAGAAATATAGAAGAGGAAGAAAAATGGAGGGAAGTAATGGAGCAAGCAAAAATCCACATCGCGTTTCAGTGCCGAATGAAGAACGTTTTAGGCTGTTCAGTTTAGACTAACTAGTAGTCGAATAAATCTCTCGAGTGTGCGTGTGTGAAGATCTGCGGATGTGTGCTAGTCCACTTTCCAAGCACCAATTGAGACGTATGAGACGTCTCGGTCTCCTGATTGGGAACTGGTAATTTGTTTTTGGGACTCGGCTGGATGATTCAAATAAATTTCCAAAACGGTTTTCTTCGTGATTAGGCGCAGCAATCATAGTGATAATGCCGGGAAATAAACCAATACCTCCTAAATCGATCTATGTAGGTGGTGTTGATTAGACACAGGTGGTGTTGAATGACCAAGTAAATCGCCTTGCAGTCTGATATAAGTTTCGATTAGAATTATCGTATTTAAAAAAAAAAAATGCGAAAACCTACGAACAGTATTGCCACGGAACTGTGAGTAATGCCAGAAGAGCAATGTACGTTCTTATGCTCGGCGTCGCAGTTTCCCGTCCTTACGCAAGTGTGCAAATACCGATTTTCAAATGAATGTGTTCCACAACCAATACTTATTAAACTTAACTAACACCTTATTCACAGCCGCCTTTTAAATCAATAACAATTAATACAGTGAGTGCAGAAGTAGAAGTGAACACAAGTTAGGCCGAGTTTCTGAAGATTTAATCTCTTCAAAAATTAGGGGATAAAAATATGGAAGTGTTAAGGAAATCCTGGAAAGAATCACATGTAATTCTAAAAGATGGCGGACAGAATTTTCGGAAATAATTGGGAACGATCTGCATTTTTGCATTTACCATATGTGCTAACGCAAATATGGTACATGCATTTTTATGCATATTAGTAAAAAAGCGTAAAAACGTTGATGTACAACTATTTAACTATAAGCATCAAAACTTGCAAATATTTCTTACGGCGATTATAATTTTGAAATTGCTGAAAGACCAGTTCCGAAGTCCATTTCCGAATGGAGGTAAGACACAAGGCCAGTCGGTGTTGGGAACTTTTGAACGTGAATATAATATTTTCAGTTGCGACGATTCATTGGCAAGTCCAATGCCAGATATTGAAAGAACATATTTAAACAAAGCTGTGCATGAAAGAAATGAAGTATGAAAGAAATGTTCAACAAATGAAACTATTTTTAAAGCAGTGTACAGCGTCATCCACACCGCATTTTATTAGTATGTAATAAGGAAGCTACATTGTCGGTAAATTTAATGGAGTTTATTCCGTTTCCATTCCTTCCAGTTCAACATTTCTTCATTTTAATTCGATATCATTTATCACTCATGGACCTCAGTTCAATCATCTTAGTACTTCAAGTGCCTCTAAACTCCAATAAACAAATAAACAAAAAAAGTCTTGAATAAATAAGTAATATCATGGGTGCCCAAGAAAAGTGACATCTTAAAAATTCACATACTGAAAGATAATGATTTCGTTCTGAGCGAGGCCGTGCATTTGGCGTCCAAACGCGTGGAAGTGTTTCTCCACACAAGATGACTCAGAATAGCATTCCGACCCGAGAAGTGGAGCAGCCGTTAGCCAAGCTGGAGCCATTTCTGCAAAAGCAATTTGGAAAACGGCCGTCGCTGCGCAAGGCAACGAGTGACGCTCGAAGAGCAGCACGGCCGACAATGCGCGCGGACTTCTGAAGCGTCGCGCCGCCGTTTCCCCTCACTCCTCACCAGGGCTGGGAGCTGTGTGCAATTGCGTTTCTGTTGCTTATTAATTATGATAAACGTTTTGTCATGTGTTTACGAATTAGACTTCTTGAACAGTAATAGATTATCCATATTTTCCTTATTTCCAGATTTAAAACGTGTATAGAGCAGTCAAATGAAAACTTAACACTCGCTAAAAAGTGAAAATGGAATGTTTTTATTTTAAAACTTACTGTCAGATGTGTCAATATATTTATCCCACTGGCAGACGAGATGATCTATTCCAGTCTTGTAGGAAGAGTTTGCTTCCACAATCTCACCCACTCTTGCCCTTGCTCGAATGAAACCTGCGTCCTAGAATATATTTCTTCAGGTCGTCAAAAATTGTATATAAAAAACTCAACGGGCTGTACGGAGAATGTTGAAGAGCTTTTCAGCCAAATCCCTGAAGCGTATCCCTCATTATATAGGCATTGTGGGGACGGGCATTATACCAAAGGATGATTCCGTCTGACACCAATACAGGGCGTTTTAACTTTATTGCCGCGAGTCAATTTCTGCGAAGAGTCTTCATAGCGCTTCGTACTTACTGTGGTTCCACGCTCAGGACAAGATTCGATAAGAAGAGGATCCCAGCAGTCGAAGAACGGCTTCATGAATTCCTACATTGAGGTACTACACACCAACGATATGTTTTTCGTTCCATAACGACCCTAAACTACACAAAAATCGTTTAAACAGAACACAACGCGAGTTGCCATATACCATGTAGCTTGGTCCATACAGATGACGTCACGCGTTCTAAGGAGACATGATGTACGTATACACGGCATTTTTAAACAAATAAATTTTAGACTTCTGGGTGCACATACAGCATTATTTAGAAAAAATAATATTTTTACGGTCACACACACACACACACACACACACACACACACACACACATATATATATATATATATATATATATATATATATATATATATAGTGTTTAATTGTTTAATTTTAAAGACTTTCTGAAAAGATCTCGGATTGCACAGGCTTTTAGGGCAGACAGAAGGTCGAAGATGACTACTTTTTGTCACTGAACCTGTCATGAGAAAACTCAGAAAATGACATTTGCCACATGTTCATCGATCCTCCTAGATTGCCTTGAAGCGTGTAGCATTCCGGGCCACTCACCGGCGCAGCTTGCAGGCGGCCTGCCACACCTTGGGGTCGCTGACCACCTGCAGGCGGGCGAAGGAGGAGGCGCGGCCCTGCGGGTTGGTGGCTTCACACATGTAGCGGCCCGAGTCGGCGTCGCGCACGTCGGCGATGTCCAGCCGGCAGACGGGGCCCGCGCGAGACAGAGCCCAGCGCGGGCACGGGTCGCGCTGCAGGTCGAGCGCGGTGCCGTCGCGGAACCAGCGCACCTCGGGCGCCGGCGCGCCGCTCACCTGCGCTCCACCACACACCATCAACAGGCTATCTTTCTGCATACGATTACGTTCATGTCTCAATTAATATCCAAATGTCCAAGTTTTTGTTTCATGAATTCGGCTGGCCTCGTTTGCCGAATTGCCTAACTATGCTCCAAAAAGTTACGGAAGTTTTAACCAATTCCAGATACCACGGATTACTGGACGGATAGCGTCTGGGAACACAGGTAAATAACAGCCGACTTCGTGGCCGAAAGGATGAAGGCAATATCATACTGCGACGTGACGACACAAAAACACAAAAATTTAACATGAGATTACTCCAGATTTATAAACGCTCATTACCCAAGAAGAGACGTGTTTTCAAAAAGGTGAAAAGAAAATTTAAAAAAATAATTGCGAGAATTACAAATTTTCCTTTTTTAAACAACCCTGTAGTGGTACGAAATTTTAAAATTTACGCCGCCAGGCAAATGACACCAGAATTAAGAGGGCACACCGTCAGTGCAACGCCCCCACGCTCGTAATTTTCTAATTTAGATTTATTTACTCAAAAATCAGTAAAAACTGTATATGACGTATGGGGAAGAAGATAAAATAAAATTGTTATTAAAAAATAAGTTAAAATTATGATAAAACATTAAATTAAATATTATTTAATTGTAATATTCGTTAATATGCAAATTGCTGACTCTCGAGATATTTCCGCAACTCTGAACCGTACAATAGGTTCGGAGGAGTAAACGAGCCCGTGCGTACCTCGCATTCCAGACGAATGTTGGAGCCGCGCAGCGCCTTGAGTTGGCCGGGTAGGATGCGGGCGAACTCGGGCATCTGCAGAGAGCGGCCGATGACGACCGGCTGCGACGTGGTGACGGGTTCACCCCAGCCATAGCGGTTGCGAGGCGTCACTCGGAACTGGTACTCGTGGTCTGGCTTCAAGTGGAACGCATCGAAGCTGTTGATGGGGGTCACGCCGATCTGCACGCAGAAGAGAGCGCTCGTGTAGTGTGAAAGGAAACTCTTCGAATCAACAACAGGCTCCTTCAGAATACGCTTCCTTTTGACGACCAAGTTCGGAATGAACACTACCCGTTGGTCCTACCCTGCGGATACTACAAAAGTTTTAATGCTGGGATATTTCGATAAAAAATGCACTACCTCTGATTTCTAAATACGTTGCACAATATTCAAACATGACAGTCGAATATGAAGGTTTGCAAAAACAAATGTGCGAATTAGAAATTGGCAAACATAACGTATGTTGCCGTATGCCAACTTCCTAAACAGAGAAAACGGAAAAAATTAACTTCAGAGTTTCAAGCTCATTTTTAATACTCCAGTTGCAGCTGTACCTCCTAAAATTCTTCGCCGAGATAGAGCGCAACAATTTTTCGCACTATCAACCCTCAGGAATAGGAAAAGCTGGACCTTCATAGTTCGCGATCTCCACGATAATTCTCTGAAATCTTTACTTTTATCTTAATCCATTGAAATATGGACACGTGCCAAAGTTGACCTGTCACCATCTGGAAGCTGTTACATCGAAAATTTCCTCTCCGTAATTGACCAGTTAATAACATTGGATCAAAAGATATAGATTGGTCTCTACTTGTTTGGCTAGACTCAAACATTAGGAACTAGAACAGTAAATTGAATATTTAACTGAATTGAAATTGACTCGTAATTCAAATTTAGAAAAACGATTCTGATGAAAGTCTTAGGGTTGAGCGTCTTTATTAGGCAGAATTTTGAAAACAATTCACACTAGAAACATAAACGTTTAGCCAAGTACAGTTGTATGAAAAACAAGTCCAGGGTGATTTACTTAACGTAAAAATGATTTTCAAAATGTATCGCGCCTTTTTGATAAGTAATTGCACTGCTGAAAAATAATTTTAAAATTAGTAATTATTAAAAGCAGATCACAAACCACAATGACATGACACCTCAATGATTTCGCCGTCATTACGAATCGGTAGCAATAATGATATTCTGAGATAAATACGAATTGCTAATGATTTTGCGCCGAGGAAATCCCTGTTTAATATAATGAAATGCTTGTAATATACGATTACTTATATTTCATACAAATATACACACATATACACAAATAGATATAGCCCCTGGGATGGGACATAGCGTGCTAGCTCTGGTGAGGAGGTCCCGGATTCGATTCCCGGGGGGGGGGGGGGTGAAGCTGGAACTTTCTACTGCAAATCGTTTGTTTCAATAGCCGTGTGACGAAACAAAATCCCAGGCATGCCACGTAAGCTAGGTATGTTGATGGGAATTCGTCAATTTCCGAGTCATTACAAAATATTGACTTTGCAGTTATTGACTGTAAGTATTTTACATCGTAGCATGGGGGCATCGTAACATAAAAAGAAGTTAATGTGCTGAAAACCATTTCTTATTCAGACGAAATGTACAGCAGTTCAATATTTTAGTGCATCAATATTTCCACATTACCCGATTTTCCAGCCGTTGTCCAAAAAATCTTATTTAGGGATACGTATTTAAAAAAATCATGATTCGAACAAAATTACTACTAGTTGTTATTAACTTAGTATTATATTTTACCATTATTTATACTAATATTTTTAAAAAGTTCCGTTTTAAATTCGCGATTTTCGCTTTAGTGCTGATTGTATGATTTAAGTCTTGACCACTACATTATTTATTATATCTTCAGACCGCATTATCAAATTACCGCGGTACCACCGGGAGATTATCCCCTTTAAGATGACGGAAGAATCTTTTAAATCGGGATACATTCGCGAAATGTGTACCTCCTGATTTTATTTTGTGAAGAGTTTTTCGAAGGATGGCTAAAGCATTATTTTGATACAATCTGTAATGTAGTGTCATTATGTTGCTGAATCCAGATATTTTCTCGTACAATTGTTTAAACAATAGCACGAGAAAGTATGTGCAGGAGCACAGCCCCTATATCGGGAGGAGCGGAAAGCTTTCTCCGTGTGTGCCCTGAACGAGACAGGTCCAAGAAGATCCCCCGCCCGAGGCAGCGTGGGTGCAGCCCTACCTCTTGCCAGCGGGCGCCACCCGCGTCGCCCAGCTCCCAGGCCTCCACGCGGTACGCCAGCACCGGCACGGCCCGCTGCTCGGGCTTGGGCCAGGCGAGCGTGAGCCAGCTGCGGCCGCAGTCCGTGACCACGGGCTCTCCGGATATGGCGGGCGGCACATCTGCAACACGCGCCGCGACCAGCAAGCCGCTTTATGCTTCACTCAGGCCAACTTACGTGGAGGGCACGATTTCGGGTAGCCAGAGCATGGAAGGCGAATACTCCTTCCGTTGTTTTCGACTGGAGGATTGTGATGCATCAGTAAACCCTCGAAGGAGCATACATTTACGTCAACAATGAAATAACGACGGCAGCAAAAACGTTCCTGACAGTGACCTCCTATCAGACGGAATTGGCGATTTTATATTTTTATATCAATAATTCAGAATTTCATTGCTTTTTGGTTTGATAAGAAAATTTTCAAAGGAATCTGGAAATAAAGGTCTTAAAATAAAAAATAAAAAACTTCCTATAGTACCTTTACAACTTATAGAAATTATTGTTTTAATTTCCGTACAATGAAACGAAAAATTAAAATAAAGACAAAGTACTAGTAAATAAATAAGTCATAATTTAAAAAAGCCTCATAGTAATTTAATTCGATTTCTGAGAAACGTTCATGGTTCTATTTCGGTCCTCATAGCGAGTGACGCCAGCATACTCATTCCATATTTTGATCTCCAGGCGGCCCTCGTGGATTCAATAATTCCCACATCGGGTGCGTCACACTCCAATGTTCCACTCTTAGGCATCTTTCAACTGCACTAATAAAACAAGTATTTTAATAATATAATATAAACAATTATTTAATAATTATGAATTATAGCAGATATACTTTGCTAAGATCACCTCATTTCATACGGTCGCTTTCGGAAGGGGGAGAGTGTTTTCAGCATTGTGAAGAAAACAAATTAAGAAGGGAAGGGAAGGTGTTGATGAAAAATGAAAATGTTTGCAAAATGTTTATTACTAGTTTTATATTAATACGGGGTATTCAAAGTATATCATCAATAAAAATAGGCAATATTCTACAGCCATCATAAATGAATATTCAAATTTATTAAACGCTAAATATGTCAAATGTACTTTTTGAATGACCTACATGGAAGGCAACAATTTTAAAAATCTTTGAACATGTATTACAAATACTAATGCTCTTGTACTTTATCTCTTTTAGACTAAAAAAATGTTGATAGAATTATAAAATAATTACATGCATAGCCTGAGCCTTGTCAAGCGACGAAAAGTTCTCGAAACGACAAAAATTTTACAGGTAAAAGATGTTAAAATATGCATATATGGCAATTATTAGCTTCTCATAATCAAAATGCATTTTTACACAATAAAGAAACCACACACTTCAAGACAGACGGATAGACTAGATGCACGACAATGACAATAAGAATGTAAATCTAATACTTGCAATTTAATTTTTTGTTCAGAAACTTTTTAGGCGATATATGAAATTAAAAAAGTCTTACGTTTAAAGACATCAAGAGCAATTTAATGTCACGGATTGAAAAAAAATATTTGAAGAAGAAAATTCGTAGTGTGGAAACTTACGGCAAAATAGTACCTTATGAAACGATGATGTAATGATGGGCATTAATACACGAGTGTGATATTACGATAAGAGTGAGTACCGTAAATTTCACACGAGTGTAATCATACCCATTACATCGAATTACATACAGTACTTTTTCTACGACTCATAAGTTGAACTTTTGCATTGAATCGTTTCGCGGCTGTTGATATGGCAAAGTTCAGGCAAACCTACTCTTCACTGCCGCAAGTGGCTTTTGTTTACCACTGTGCTAGTCATCTAGGACAGAAGTGAAATTACGATCAATGGTTTGAAAACTTTTCTGTGATTGGTCAAAAACCTGTATCATAATGAAATCAGTATCGTAATGAGTATCATTAAGCAACGGGTAACCATCACATGACAGAATTATACAATGAGAGTAGAAAAAAATAATAACTGAATAACAGACTGAGTATTTACACTTGCACCTTCTTTAAAATTTTATTTTAGTTCACAGTCTTAGGGCAATAAGTTTCATCCTTTCAAACAAATTAGAAAATCAAAGAAATCGATAAGGAATTATTAATAACAACGTTGCTGGGTTAACCGATATAAAGATAGAGATTACTAATTGCAGGTACATATACAGCAAAGTCTTTATTTTGATTAATCTTTAAAGCGTGGCGCCCTAACAGGACCGGAGTCCTTGACGCACGCCCCGTAGCACACGCAAGCGAAGTGCCTTCGCGCCCGGGCGCTGGGCGCTGTTTTTGCCCCCGTGCGGCAGAGCGCCCGTTGCGTCACGCGCGGGAGTGCAGGAGGGAGGGGCGGAGGGCCACGCACTGCGCAACCGGCGGGCGGCGGCGGCGGCGTGCACGAATAGCCGGGCGATGAGCAAGACGGGCGCGCGCGCCAAAATTCGCGTTCGCGCGAAAATAGCGACTTCAATGCTTTTTATAACAATGCGTGGGCGCTTGCCGCTGTCAGCCCTGGAGAACTTTAGCGGAGAAAGAGAGAGAGAGAGAGAGAGAGAGAGAGAGAGAGAGAGAGAGAGAGAGAGGGAGAGCGAGAAATGGGAAACAGATATTGTGTGTGCGTGTTTAGGGGGGGGAGGCAGAGAGAAGGGATTGAGGAACAGAGAGCGAGAGAGGAAAATAGGAGTCGAATACGATGAAAGGTTCGCTTGGAGAATTATTGTGAAGGAACGCCTATTATAAACACAGTTGCTTCTAGTGTTCTCTGAGACGTCCAAAATAAACACAACTTGAGACAGAATGAACACTTTCAAAACGCTTCAGTATTTGTGACTATTCTTCTCTTCGTCTGACTGCACTGCTAGGCAATTTTTATAACAACAAATTCATTATCAGTTCAGGAAATTATTTTTAAAAAAATTAACTGCACTTCTCTTAATTTTGAATTTATTTTTTTATATCTGCAATGTAACAGAAAATTTAATACGCAGCTGATTGATATCGAAAACTAGTGATCATTTTGCCGATTCTTCCACATTCGAACAAATGTACACCAAGGGCACAAAATCTCCTCAAATTATACAGTATTATTTCGTATTTTTAAGATGTCATATTACTTCCTTCCTCAATCCATTTTAAATTCTAAGTGTCAGTTCTGTTTTACCCTTGATCAATATTTGTTGTGTTTAGACTTTTATGAGTAAATAGAAAATTAAATAAGTTTCTGGAGTTACGTCAAATACATAGAACTTCTTGTTATCTTAAAATTGCAGTAAATATGCAAAATTCTATGAGATAAATTATTTTCATTCATTTTTAATTCTATTGATAATAAATTTTTATAATTTTTATGTCATACATGTGGGGCTTTTTTTTCATTTAATTCTTTTCTTGTATTTTTTGTGAAGAGAACCTGTATATTCGCTAGTTTTAAAGATCTAAACAAAAATTTTCGGAATATTATGTTAGTTGAATGACCGTTTCAGTAAGATAAAAAATTAAATTGCAAGTAGTCCATGAACTAGTGATAGATATGGGAATACATTTTCTTTCTGTGCGCAATCATACCATCTTCATGCCACCTTTATAGTCAGACGCCATCCGTAAGTCCATGTTTTAGCATTGCATGGATATGAAAACTCTATATTCAGAATTAATTGAGAAGGCTCAAATAAATAAAAGTTGTTAGAGGGTACCTTCGTAGAAACGTCTTCACAGAGAAAGTGGCGACTACTTCTTGGCTTCAGTGCACAGACCTACCGCCTTACGCCAGTTGGCTCGGAGGCAAAGAAGAAATATGTGACCTTGTCATTAACTCTATCTATCCTCCAGGTAATAAACTTGAAGCATTTCTGTCATTCTCACTAGGATGCTTATAAGAACTGTTTTCTGAAGAATTATTTCGAGAAACATTAAGCAAACATCGTTTTGTCCATATCGAGGGAAATCGGGGAGAGACAAACAGAATGTCAGTCCGTTCTGAAACGTGTTAGCAGAATTGTGTACGTAGTCTCCTAGAGAGTAGTGGGTTGGATTGTGTCGTTGAGTTTCACCTGTCTGACGCGGGAGACACATGTTTTCATGTCAGATTTGAGGAATTTTCCTTTCTTCTAAGCCCCCACTTTAAAAGAGACAAGCGTGGTCATTTGAAGAGCCGCCAGATCATATATAATTTCATATCTTCTGAATATGAATGCAAGACACTTCTGGCATCATCTTCCTAGAATGAGGAAATAATATTCGAGGTCAGGTTCTATATTTAAAAGTGAATCAGGAACCATATTTTAAAGCGTTGGTAATATTATTCGCTGATGTGCAAAGTGTCTTATAAAATGAAAACTCATTTTAAACTCACTCAAGAGGGAATGCGAATATTTAAAAAAATTGAATATTATATAACTTCTCTGGCCTGTGCAGGTGTTGAAGATTCTGGGGATGTCAGTCGTCTCCGCAACGTTGATTTGTACAGCCATGACGTCTCTTTATTATCAATAGTTGAATATATGGTATAAAACGGCATAAACATATTTTTATTAGAATTAGCCAATGTATTCTAAAGTGTTCCACAAAACATTAGTGTTCTGCGAAGCGCGAAAATGTGTTCCGGAGCAAATGCTTTATGTTTGGCAACACATCTACGTGAATCTACATATCTATATGATACCGGATTTTCGAACAATGCTTCGATGGAAACAAACTTTCATAAATAGACTTAAAGCAGCATCTGTCTGCGGATACAATTATCACGATTCCAACTTCCGAAAGTCTTTCATAGTGAGTACGAAAAATATCAAACAGTTCGAATTTTCACATTCTAATTGTATCGCTGTAAAAGTCATTTGTTAATTGATTTTATTGAAAATTTATTGAATCTCCCATAGAAAATGATTCAAGGAATTCATGAGTTGACACTTTTCACTACGTGAAATGTTTAAAATATGTTTTTAAGATTTCAATGTAGTAATTTTTTGACTGCGACAAAGGGTTACGTATATAACCAGGAGCTGCAAAAATTTTTCATGGTAAAAAAGTTTGAAGAAAACCGTTTAGAATATAAAATAGTGCAGGAAAACCTGACTAACCTCAAAACATCTCGTGGGGAGTCGTTATATTTCGTCCGGA